TTTTTTAATCAACGATTTATTTATCATTATTTATTTATCATTTATTTTATTGACAAAAGATTTAAATTAAAAAAAAATAATTATCCTACATATTTAGAGTTTTAGTAAATTTTAGAACATTTTAAATAGAACATTACTCATATGTGCTCTCTATTCTTAGATTAAAATAATTATAGATAATTCAACTAAATTTACAATTTCAGTAAGTTCACGGCACAATTTATTTTAAACATATTAGATTAAAAATAAATTAATTACAATTACAGACTTTAAATTAATTACAATATCATAGAAATGGATTTAAGTGCAATGTTACTTTACGTAACTGCTTTAGTAATTGTTACTAGCGACATGAAAATTCAGTACATTGCTTTGTTTACTGACATATGTTAACCGAGGCAAATTTGTCTTTGAACAAGTACAGCTTGTACTCTTGAGCGCTCGCCTGCAAGTGAATTAGAGCTACTGATCGACCATGCGGTGACCATAGAATGGGAATTCTGACAACAGAAATCAGAATAAATGTTACGGTCCATCGATGTTTTCTAGAGCTATACAAGATGTCCGGTTTTTTTAAAAATACGTCTAGAACTGAAAAAGAATAGATTGTTTAAAAAAATTATTTTAAACTGTTTGATTTCTCAAGAAGTAGAATGTCATGTATTTTAATTTTGATACATTTCGATAAAATATAAAATAACTTTTAAAATATTTATTTTTCAACAACTTTACTTTAAGGCTTTTATATGTATAATGATACTCATAAAAATAAATTTAACAAATTTTTGTTTAAAACATTATTCCAAAAACATTTTCTCTCTCTCTTTCTCTCTTTAAAATTATTTAAATATACATATATGTATTATTCAAAATGGGACACACTGTACAGAGAGCGTTAAGTGAGAATATAGGACATCACTAGCATATATTGGCATTCATTAACAATTCAATTCATTCTATGAGGGTGTTATTAATCTATACTCATCGATTAATCGAGTCAACAATTAGACTTCATTATTGATATAATATTAAAATCAATGAATACAATAGATTAACACTTAATAATGCATTAATTTTCATGCTTAACCACATCAATTCCATACATTAATCGTATTATTTAATTATGTTATGTTTAACAACATTGTATTACAATATTAAATTTGTTCTCTCTTTTTTCCTTTCTTCCTTTGTCTATTTCTCTTTACTTGAATCAATTTACTCTCACAAAGATTATCTCTTTTACGGCATAATCATAAAATATAAAATACGGCCATAAGCACACAATTTTATAGCTATTAACAATGGTGACATAATGATAAAAAATTAAAAAGCATTATATAATTGTAACGCTATGACTATTTGGTTCAATACATAATCATGATCTGCTTTTAGTTCTGTTACGATATCAAAACGATAATGGAAGTGTAATCCGATAATATGTGAATTACATTATATTTCTGAAAATTTCCGATTTTAATTTTTATTATCTGTATTCTTTTTTGAACAGTTACAGAGTAAAGTTTTGTTTGTAGTTTAATATATAGAAGTTTATACTTCTCAGTCTTCGTAACTCGAGAACTTTGCTGGCTACTTCGGTGCTTCGCCTACAAAGAAAGTATTTCGTACCCTCTTCTTTTGCATCTCAATTGTCAAACTATTTCCGTACGCCGAGAGTGCGTGCCTTCATGCAGAAATACAAAAGAAAATATATAAAGTTTTTGCAAGAGAAAGACTAAGTTGTACACTTGAAAATGCGATACCTACTACTTGTTATAATAACAGTTTTATTTATTGGTTGATTTTATGGCAACTTGTTTTCAAACGTTATCTAATACATTTCCATCTTCCGGTTATTTATTCTGTAAACCTTTCGTTTTCATTGATAGAAATCAAAGAAAATTCTATATACATACTTCATTCTAAATACATTTTTCATCGGGAAATATGACTAATAGTATATTTTTTATGATACGACGACGTAATGATAAAAGAGAATTGCCTAAATTTTCAATTTAAGTTCTATTCAGATTCTATTCATGTATAAAGAAATCTTTATTCCTCTTTAAATTTGTTTAAATATAATTAAATTAATTTCAATTTCTTAAATGAAGATATATAAATAACGAAAGATAAGGAAATTATTAGAATATTTTCTATGACGTTAGATTCTTCTCAAACATAGTAAGCGAAATGGTGAAATATCATCCTCATGTATTCTACATGAATCTAATTAATATTCACTACCTCAAAATACATTATGCATTTGACCGCATTATGAGAAATGAAAATATTTTCACGCAAACGTAATCTCTGCTACCGTCATGTGTGAATATTTGTTTTCGTAATTGTCACTATATTACACGATCCGGTTTCAGTGACCACTCATTTTTAAAAAAAAAACATGACGAAAGTTAAATAATTGATCAATCCGTAAATTTTCTATGTTTATTTTAAAGGATAGAAAATTCATTTATACAGAGAGAAATTTTTCATTGCAGGAGTGACGTTAATTGCAAATGCCCTTCGTTTATCTAAGGAAAAATGGGACAAATTCCTTTACAAAAAGGAACAGAATTATGGGACGTATATAAGATAGTGACGCCGGCGAACGAACAAACATTAATGAACAAAAACAGAGTTTATTTTTATTTCGTGACTATGTAATATAATTGTATCTTTTCCATTGTACAGGCGAGTAATAAAGATTTGTTTATTAAGGGAATTAGATGTGGCGAATGGTACCTCGAGTACCTCGGTCATTATCGCGATGCGCCTCGTTGTTTCAGCGCTTCTCCGAAAACAGCACGCCGGAACTAAACTGAGATAACGACGTGCTTTCGTAGCGCGCTTTAGACGCGAGCACGATGGAAAAGCTGGGCCCTTGGAGTCACAGTCGTGTACAGAGCTATGCATCCAGCAAAACTACATTATGATTTAATTAAAATCAAACCTCTCGCTTGCCATGCGGCACCGTAAACGTGCTCGCACCATTTTGAGACATAAAGGGGGTGAATAGGTAGATCTTTTTGTTATCACACTGCGTGCTAGCTGGACGCAAAACTGTCGGCCAATTAGCGTATCTTTTCCTCTCTTCCTCTTACCAATTCTGCTGCGACTCAATAAACTTTTTCATTATCAAATTTAATTAAAGCCCCCGTTTTCTGTGCGTTGCACATCTATCTCCGACAAACCTTCCTGTAAACGTAATAAATTTAACAGAGCGATAATTAAACCATACGTAGAAACGAGTCACACATGCAGAAATGTTTCTCATAAACTCAAGTTGCGTTTCATCTATCAGGATTTTTAAGAATCTGACGTACGACATTAATGGATTTGTGGCGACTCACCACCAGAGGTCTAGCGAGGACTCGTGAGCACCACAGCCACACGAATTCCCTTTAAATGGAATCTTGATCTAATATTCTCCCCGGCGTCTAAGGCAGATTCCACTTACTGATGAGTCCAGTAGTGGGGACCAGGACGAAACACCGCAGTCGACCATAGTTCGAGTCGACAGAATCATCTTTCATTTTCGGCTAAACCAGCAAAAATCGTTGCGCCAAAGATTGATATAGCTTGTAAAGTGATAAAAAAAGTAGATGTCAATGTTGAGTAACGGAGAAAAGACAGAAGTTTAAAGAAACGAGAGAAACTTAATCTCATTATTCACGCTGGTAGAGCTTTCGGATATTGAGATCTCCATTATAAAAAAAACACGTTTATATATATATTTAAGTTATCTCTTTCAATAATTTTTCACCCATTTTTCCGGCGACTGGAATAATATAATCTTGTGCGCTTCTATTTTGTGATAAAGTCTGAATGATAGCGCATCCATATGTGCTGTATACATTTTAATTAAATTGCCCAGCGTTTCCAAATCTACGTAAATTTAATAGGCGGTGCTCCCATTGGAGAATTGGAATTATAGCAGAATATCAATTTAATTGAAATTACAAGAATAATTGAGTACTTTTTATTATACTGTAAATATTTTAATATACGGTAACAAAAATTTTGTAAAAAATATCGCTTCTAGCTTTTATTTTAAAAATGCGAGAGATATATAACAAACAATATATTTGCACATTTGCATTTATCAATAATGTCCAATGATTTTGATGAACATCGCATCGCGTTTGCTTCGCGAAAGCCCGAGATATACATGCGAAAACAGTTTTAAGCGTAACTTTGCACGTTTAGGCATCCCATTTGTTTAATTTTTTTTTTACCATGATCGTATTTTACACGCGTTCCACGCCACGGCCGTACTGTGCACGGCATCGACTACTTTTTCGTCCCCTCGCACGAAAATTACAGTTTCCACAGAGTTTCGTCGTTAAGTACAGCCTGCACATCCGTGTTATAATGTCGGAACCCATGTCCCTACTGACGAAACTTACGACTCCGGTAATACGTTTTCCATTACCAGTGTCCCCGTTGTGAAATGCTCGATTTACTTTTATCCCTTAGCTGAAAAAAAAAAGAACTGATCGCTCTCTGCAACATTTAGCCGGGCATGAGCCGCTACAACTCCTGCATGCCCACAGTTTTATGCTGCATAAACTCTGTTTTCGAATAAATTCCGTAACTATAAAATACATTTTGAATTAATCAGTACAAAAATTCGAATTAATTTGAATAACTGCATAATTTTTACATATATTCACTGTAATAAATATTATCATTTTAATATCATTACACTGAATATATGTGTGTATAATGATATTAAAATAAATAATTTTCACACACAAATAACTTCTTATTCCGCGATACAATGCATGCATAATTTATTATTTTATGACACGTGTGCTTTGATAAAAATTAGATATAGGCGCTATCACATTCATTTATTCGATGATTTATTGACACGTTCAAGTGTGATCATTAGCCTAGGTGCTCTCAAATATTATAAAATAACCTCTAAATGAAAAAGAAATCTAAAAAATCCAACATTGTTAACAAAAATCAGGAAAGTATAACAAAGATACATAATAAAGATGATTGGCGTAGTGCGTTAGATTCCGTATTGATCAACGATGATCATTGGTGGTGTATAGTAACGATGATGGTGGAGACATTTGTCGAGCACAGCCGCTACATTTCTCTCTTCAGTGAAACCGTCGAAGAAGAAAAGCAGGCGTGTATTTATTCCCTCAGTTATCAGAAAACGATAGACACTGTGAAAACGCTGTCGAAACAAGATCCAGAGAAATGTCCTGCTGTCGAGAGTATCTGTCATTACGCGAATACGGTCTTAAGCGAAAACAATGGCCATCTCTCTACCTGGCTGATTGCACGGCTCATAAAGTATCTGATCTATCGCGCCAAAACCGAGTACGTTGGGAGACTTAAAGTAGAGGCGGATCTAGACTGCAAAATCGATGAAGAATATCGGACAATTCAGAATATTGACAGCTCAAGTAAATATATACCAGTATTTTTTTTTTCATTTTAAGAACATTAAAGACAAGCCTTTAACAATATGATGTAGCTATGTCGTATGTGAAGATAAAAATGGCCCAATCTAACGGTAACTTATTCGATAAATTATGATAAATTATCAAGTAACTTTGAAAAGGTAAAATGATTGGTAAAATGGTAATTTAGAAACAAATTACTAAAATTAAAAATTTTGATATAAAACTCATAAGGAGTATTTAGCCTTTGAGATAAATAAATTAAAATATTTTATTTAACTTATAAAATACTTTTTATTAAATATTTTGATACTACATGGCAGTGTACTATATACATATATTATATAGTAATTAGGAAATTAGATATATAGTAACTAGAGAAAGGCAACCCTGCACCAACCTTACGGATTTTGGCTCCCGGTGAAATTGTCTGAAAATTTAGTATTTTATTTTATTTGAGATTTTCATAAGAATGTTGTTATGTCTTAAACATCAGTGTGAAAAACGTAAATACAGCTTACTTCTACATAAAATTAACAAAATAACCAAAATTACCATCTTACCGTAATTTTACTTACATTACGTAAGTAATCGTCACATGTATTTGATGATAATTTTACATCTCTAATCGTGTGAGATGATAAGTACGTTCTATTGTTTTCTTTGCTCGATAAGTAGCAATCACAAGAGAAACATATTATATTCTTTTTTTTGTAACTCGTGTTCTCTCTCCAGCGGCTTACATAATAGTAATAATTTCATTACTCAGCTTTTTCGCGAAGCACTATTGAGCCTCGAAGAGCCTATAGTAGCAAGACTGAATACGTATTCAATGTCAAAGCGAATATACGTTTACGTGCGGATAACGTACCTTTTGATGGACTGAATCTCTATGTTGTACTTAGCGGGTTTCATAATCCTGATTTACCAGCAGAATTGTTAAGCGTCGGAGTTCCTTTGACCTGTATATTAGAGATTAAGCTTCCCGACGAGAAATACGTTGGGCATCGTGAAACGGAAGAAAATGATATGACGATCCGAGATAAAACGCTCTTCTTTGAAGATCATCATATCAACGAAATCGAGTTACTGGAATTTTGGAAAGTTACGCACGAACGATTCGCTAATCTATCGGCTTATCCGATGTATTCCAACATAACTATTCTTACTATCGATCTATCAGTCTTCCCGGAAACAGTTAATGCTATCGAGAAGGCGTCTTTGAAACGATACATATACGATAGAATACTTTTCACTTTGTATCATTTGTACGAACTTTACCGACAGCATGCAAAGTATCTTAAAAATATGAAGCTGGAGAAAAGAATTGTTGATAAAAGAGAGGTAGTAAATACTAAGATTTACGATGATACATTGAAGAACATACCTAACGAATATATTGGCGCTCCATTGATATTGAGCGCGATACTTCTTCAGGTCGAACACAATCTTGCGACCTCGTCCGACGGGTGTTTTCTTGCCGATCACGGTACAGGATTTAGCGACGCCGATACGAGACACGAGAATACATCAACGACAGCTGAGCGGAGCCCTACGTTCAATATGCAGGCTAAGCTGAAACTACTTGATCTTGAGTACGAGCTTATCGATGAATACGATACCAGTGCTGACGGTGCCAGCCAATCGTTGCAGCCTTCTGATCTTGAAGTTATACCGTACGGAGACACTTTGAGCGTGATCATCCGTCACTCTCACGATCGTAGAGCTACTCATCTGGACGACGCGGTTCTACGAGTTCTATGGGATCCGAGAATAATTAATGTTTGGAGGAATCACGAAGTACCGACGAGGTTAAAATCCGATATGTATTTCTGCCATTTGGACAATATCACACGTGCATTTAATCGAGAGCAAAAGGTCAGTCGCGAGGAAATTGTACACTACTTACATCTCTTGATGTTTGACGACCTGATCTTTTCCGGTGGTAGTCGCGAAGCAAGAGCGCGATTGGTACAACTGCCAAGAGATGAATTGTCAGAATTAAAACACATGAGATCAACGATAAAAAGAGGATGCAGCGTGCCAAATTTTACATCACCTCCAACCATTGCGTCCGGACTACGTCGTTGTAAAAGCGACACCGAGATTGATTATTGTAAGCCGGTAGTTGCATTCACCGACTGTCCGTTTTTGTTCACGCTAACAGACGCTAGAGAGACATTGCTTCCGGGATATTTGTGTAAGAATGTCTTCAAGAAGAGAAGTTACCAAAGACCAAGTCTCGAAGAATACGAAGACGTCGAGTTACTCTCGAGCCGAGTTTTTCTTCAAGTCGTCCACGAATGTTTCCAAAGTTTCGATCGTTTCGCAGCTAGATACTTCGAGCCGACGGATTCGCTGCTGCTTTACTTTAGCAACAACGATGCGGTGAATAATGTGTCCGAAGAAAGGTGCTTGTCAAGTATATGTACGCCCATCGGACTCCATGAATTCTGTGAATATATCGCGGAGAAAGAAGAGAATTGGATAAAACGAGAGCAGGAGACGCGCCAATCGCATAGGATGGACTTGACAGGAAGATTTATGAAGAATTCCATCGAGGTGGAAGACGACGCGATCATATTCGACGACAAGTGCTTCATACTTCGGGATTCTCTGAAAGCGCGTCATCTAAAGGAGGGTCGCGATGAGCGAAAGAAAATTTTCAAAACGAAGGAATTCGAGAAGATGGCAGTGGAGAATGTCGACGAAAAGAAAATGACAAGACAGAAGCAGAACGAGTCGCCGATGGCGGACAACGAAAGCAAATGGGCGGATGGAAGAGTTATGAGTGGAAAAACGTCAATGACGAGGAAAAAATCGGACACAAAGATAGATGATGTCGATACGTCCTTCTTACCGATGAAAAAAATTCTATCGTCTCAATGTGACGAGACGGGCGGATCGTACGACTTCGTTGGATACGATCTTGGAAGTCTTCGTGTTCAAGTGATTCATCATAGCAAAAAGTTTCTTTTGGATGGCGATACATCGGTGCGGGTTGAACTTGAAGACTGGCTTCATGGGGACCGCAATTTACGCATCGCTGTTACTCTGCTAAACTGCACTTTACGATTGTCTGGCAGAGTTAGTCACCGTCAGTCAACAGGCACATTTCACTTAACTACGAAAAGGGGAATTGTGTTAAGTTTCTACCGGAATAGGAGAGAACTAGGTAATTAAGACCTGGCTTTAGAGCTATTAAACATTTATCAAATAAAATAATGGTATAGTCAGGAAATAAATATCCATAATAAATAATTTCACATTCAACAATATAATTATCATGTATCACATGTGTTATATTACAATTACTTTGAGTGAAATTATAACATTGATGTTATGTTACTTTTAGTTGGTGTTTACCAGGTAACGATTCTCATGCAATGGCAGACAATAAAAAAAAGACATCTTTATTATTTGAATGATTCTTTTACGTTTCGTAGTTGAAAATTCATCCGATTCCCATTGGCAAAATTTTACTTTCGACTTTCGAGCTTCATGGCCTTCAGGATTATTGATAGAACCAACCATCGGAGACGGTACCAAAAATCCATTTTACATTCGACAATCGTACGTTTCGAAACGTCTCGGGCGCGCAGGTGCAGTCCGTGAAGTCTGTCGGAACTTTCTCAGAAACGGTACCGTCCTAAAGTATCTGGACGACAATACTGTCATCATCTTCCGCTCGAATGGCGTCATCGTGACGTGCATGGACTTCAACAAGCCGCAATCGCGCGATGAATCCATCCACAAGACGGATCCAAAAAGTATACAAGAACACGGGTCAACTACGAAGAGAACGAGAATTTTTCAGTTAAATTGAGGATTCTTCTACAGCAGAATTTAGGATCAAAAAGGGCAACTCGAGGCAATCGGTGGCGGCCAAGCATAGCGGTAAAGTCATAGATTCCACGGAGACGCGTTCCAACGGATCGATGGTGGACGTGCAACCATCGAAACATATACCACCAGTAGGAGAATTCGTGACTGTTAAGTTTCGTTTTAATTGGGAAACGAAAATAACTTGAACGATTTGATAGTTGAGATTTTAAAGATAAGTTTAATTTCGTACAATGACATCGTTTTTCCCCAAAAATTACTATTTAATTGTACGTAAAGTATGGATCCAAAAGTTTTCAACATATGAAAAGAGTAATAAAATGACACACCATTTTTTATGTTTCAATACAATTACCTTTTATTTTTACTACATTTTTTTATAATGATGAATTAATTTTTTTTACCGCTAAAAATATTCTGAATTTTTACCCTTAAAATGTTTTATAACCCTGTAGAGATCATTTCTCATTTTTCTAAAATCCGATCTGCGTGGAAAAAATTTGCCAGAAAAAGTAATCTCGGCGGTGTTAAACCACTTTAAGTACAAAAATTTTAAATATTTTTTAATGGTATAGAAAAATTAATTCATCGTTCTAAAAAATATATTAAAATAAAGGACAACTATATTGAAAATAAAAATTGTTTCATTTTATCATTTTTTAAAATATTTTCGGCTAAAAATTTTTAGGAAACTTACTAGATAAATCGAGTTGAAGTTATACATATATGTGTATAGAGCGTCGAGTTTGTTACGATAAACGGTATTTAATGTCCGTCACCTTTAAACATTTCTTAGAGCAAGGGAGACGATTCATTGATAACAGGAGCATTCGCCGTAGGTGAAGTGTTACGATACTCGGTGGTGAATTACGATGGTAGATGCTACGAGGTGCTGAACGATCTGGTCGTAAGTGAACACGATCGATTGCTCGTTAGGACAACGTTGGATTACGAGGTCAATGAGGTATTCACACGTCGTGCCGACGGTACCGATACGTTGCTACGTTCAAATGGAGAATTGGTTGTTACATTTCCCGGTACAAATATGTTATATAATATATTAAGAAATATGTTTATTTGATGTTTTTTATTATCAAATTTCATTTGTCTTTGATATTTTTTCATCAGATGGCACATGCATCATTACTGGTTACACGATAGAGGAACAGCCAGTAATTTGCGAATGGACGGAAAATGAATTGAAATACTTCGGAATTATGGAAACATTTGAAATGAAAGGATATGGTGATCGAGCTGCTTCCACATTGTCTTCCGACGTTGAGTTCTCGCATGAAAGTTCGTCCGTACCACACATCGAATGCCAAGAGAAACAGACAAGGATATCGATCGGGGACGATTTTGTCTCGATCTTGTTGACTTTCCGCATGGAGCACAAAGACTACGCCACCGTGTTCTATGATCAGTCAGTAGTTAGTTGTACTTTATCGATGCCCGACAATGTCCGCATCAGTATGTCGAGAAGAGGTCATTATGAAGTTTCAATGGAAGACCAAATTAATCTGAAGGTAAAAAATCACGGTACGCATACTCACAATCAGTGTAACATAAATTACAGTACACAGCTTATAGTAACGTTGTTGCAACATTTGCAGTAACGTTCTCTAGTATTGTTGGAATATTACAATGTTACTGTAATATTACTGGAATGATCTGTACTGTATGAGAATAAATATAGATGGTGCATTCTTTAATTTCAGCTTTTATGTTTCGTTAGAAAAACTTGAATCATATCAGCGGTTGTGATGCACTTGATGCTACAAATTTTTTGAAGTATTCTTTGATTGATCAATTAGTGAAATTTTTTCTTCTAATTGGTCAATCAAAGCTTCAAAGTATTTGTAGTGCTAAATGGACCGCACTCAGCATCTCTCTTTCAAGACTTTAAAAAGAGAAAGACATAATTCAAGCTATCTCACTTTTTCTAAATCGATAGCAACAATTTCATATAGGAATTCTATTTTTATTACGCCTAGAATATAATATTGATACATAACAGTGCGTTTTTATCGATTGATTCGTCAGCTGTAAAATTACACCGTACGAACTAGAGTCTTCCCATCATATTTCACTTATACGTGTTTCAACATTAATAATTCCCTTTATTAAAGAAGATTTCGTTGATGTCAGATTTTCGATAATGACGCGATGTTCTGGAAAACTTGTGCTACTTGCGGCGGTAGATCAATGTCGACTTGTAAGTTTTGGGAATTTAGAACTGATTCACAAACGATTCTCACGACTGTCGGTATTCTTGGGGATATGCTTGAGGTTAAAAGTGATGGTACCACGCGTTATTATCGAAACGAGGACCATAAAAAAAGTCGCGAATGCAACGACGACGTTCTCGAATGCGGCGAAGAAAAAAGAAGCAGCGAAGAAAGGGATGCCAACTCGGAGGCAAAGATCCATTGCAAACACGAACGATATTGCGAAATGCTCAAGTTTCCAGCGAGAAGTCAATACAGAATTTTCGCGATGAATCGCGATCTGACAGCTTGTGAGTACCTTCATCGATCGGTTAGACACGAGCAAGAACTGGCAGCCGTCTTTGGCGACGAGATGAGTATGATCCAGTATCCAATTTCACGTCGACCGGAACTTCGTCGGTTGATTATATTTGTGCCAGTAGAACCGGAATTGGGATCAAAGGAAATGTTCTATCAATACCGGGTTAGATAATCGATAATATTACATCTTTTTATTAATGTATTATTGGCATTAGTTGAATTTTGTAATCTTTTGCGCAAATTTAAAAATAATAATAAATAAGAGGATAAATTATATATATAATAATTAAACATGTTTTATTTTAATATTAATTAATTTTATTTTATTATATGTATTATTACACTTTTAATATTAATTTTTATTTTTATTTATACCAAAATTTGCCTAACTTTCTCATCATGAAAAAGTAACTTTAATATCAACTCCAAGATAATAAGAGAACTGATAAATATCTTACAACAAAACCATGTGCAGGTTACATCTGACAAACGGACGGATTGCGATAGAATTGAATTACCGCGAAGCACTTATTCATTTCCGTACAACTGGCTGTTCCCCTTTGGCAAAAAAGTAGTTTCTGAAAGAACTCGGAACGAAGTTTTAGCAAAGCGAAATGAGTCGCTGCCGAAGTTATTGCGAGTGCGCGTCTTCTTCGGCATTAAAGGGGCAGACAGAAGCGTCCTGATCGATATGCAGAAAGCTATGGGACGTTATTGGATATCTGTAAGAAAATTTAATAACGCAAGTTCGTTAAAGCTGTTCTCACTTGTGCTTTCACGTATGTTTATTTATAATAAATATAAAAGTTTTTAGAATTTCAGAAAACAAATTCCATTTCTTTTTGCAATTCAGATAATTGATTTTTGTATGACGAGAGGGAGGAGGGGAAAATATTACGCGAAATTGCTCGTTTTCTCCGATTACATTTCTCCCAGGACTTTTCCTTCCACCCAGGTGTTGCGTGATGGTGACAAATGTCGGCTATTTTACGCGACTGAAAGCAGTCGACCCTGCGAAGTTGGAAATGATTACGGGAGTTTGGAGGACAGCCTACGAGAACTGGCTGTAGGCGTTAAGAGAAGCATCGACGTCGAGACGTACGTCAGAAGCCTTCAGGGTAAGCTCATTAAAACGAGCACGAAAGCTCCTCGGCAGTCGAGCCGTCTTGCGGAGTTACTTCGACAAAGAGGCTCCATGAAGAAGGTATATGAATGGTATAAACAGTGCATGAGGAAACGAATTATTGTACCGTATTTTGGAAATATTGCTGACTCGCGTTATTTCTTAATGAAAAACCATGTCGACGAGCCAATATTGAAGAAAAGTTACTCGTGTGTGTCGCGAGAAAAAGAAGACAAACTTATCGATAGAAATAAAGAAAATTGTTGATCTTTCTGTTGAAATGTAATACGGAATAAAGTTTCTTTTTAATTAGATTTAGCTGCTCATTTTTGCAAAAAAATTTGCTTTCTCGATGTAACGAAAGTTTTGTAGAGTAATTTGTTTATTTCTTTTTAGTTCATTGATTTTTACTTATAGATGAAATGACATGAAAATTCTTACTCTCTTTTTCTTTAAATTCCATTCTTTTCGTCTTTTCTTCTTTTACAACAACGGTAAAGATTTGTAAGTATCGCAACATCTCGAGAATCGCTGCACTCGCCCTTCATTCGAGTTTTTACCACCTGGTGATTTTGACGCGCGTGGCCTGAATACCAAAAACGTCGAAGTAGAAACCAGTGCCGTAAAGGAGCGACAGCCGCCACAGTACCATATGCTTCGCGCATTACAAAGAGTCGTAAAAGTATGACATGCATTTTATCCTTTCGTCACATTCGCCTCCTCGAAGGTGCAAGTAAATGGTGTCCAATTGTCATATCTTTTAAATTTATTCAGTAATTTGTTCGCATCGAAAAAGCTCTGATAACTGAACGAAAACTAATTTATTCTATCATTATATTTAGCAGAATAATTTGTCAATATAAATAAATAGAAGAGCTACGAGCCTTGGCTCAAAGCCCTTCTATTCATTTATATTGATTCATTCTGATTGAGCCATTTTATTATTTTATATTAAAATAATTTGTAATTTTAGCAGAATTATATCTGACAATTAACATCTTAACAAATCACTTCGCTGTCCCCATAATAATTGATAGATTTTTTTGCTATAGTAACATAAAATCTATTATTCTAACAAAATTATTTTTTTTACATGATAAATTGTCGAACAAATTTTTAATTCGAAAAGAAAGGGACAAGATCGATCTAATAACATAATAACTCAATATATCAATCTACAATTTGTATCGCCAATACAATTTCGCGCGCTGTCTTTTTAGTTGTGTTATCCAACGGACACCAAACCCTATATCTTTTCGTGTAACACGCATGTGGCTTCTGATACCGGCCATATATCTATCGGGGGATTCTTTGTAAAAACGCGATATAGCTCGCCGAGGTCGATCTTTTTCCTTTGTCAGAGTCTGTCGGTTTCGTTCGAGAATAGGAACTCGCGACGATACTCCGTATTTCCGACTGGCCGTGGGGACGCGCGTAAAATATTTCGCTCACGTACTTTTAACCTATATCATTTTCCCTTCCGAACGTTATACGACGCAATAGGAAAAAAAAATGAAAAAAAAACCGCTTGATGTGTGAGCTATATTATAGGTTTTTCTTCGCATGTACTGATCCCACGGGGTCGCCCTTTCATTCAACAGTGACGTTCGCACACGTAGTCGTCGTCTATATCATAAGTTATTGTCACAGTCACAATATTATCTTGTTCCTTATGTTGTCTTTAAGCTGGTAAACGTATAAATATTAGAGGTTCACGTATAATATCTGGCGTAGGTTCTATATGTACATAAATCTAGAGGATGAAAATTACGAAGAAGATAGTCAATCAAATCACGAGAAAGACACGGTTCTGTCGGAATAGTGCGAGATACAAGAGGGAAATGATAAAATTCGTGCTCTACTTTCATTCTGTCATCATATCGACGCGACGTGCAAAAGTCTCTGTACGTATATTTATTATTTTCGAAGCCGTTTGAGATAGTGAAAAAATCTTTTTGGATCTCAATGTTTCTGAACCAAAACTATACGCGCATATATATTTGGATTTTTCGTTCGACGATGCAGAATTCACCGGACAACGGAATCGAAAGCTCGCGCGGCTTGCTTTCCTATCTCGATTTTATACGATGTTTTGCACCCGGAGTCTCGTGAGTACTCACGCCGTTTCTGGTTACGACAAAGAGCCACTTTTGAAACGCATCGGCAATTCGCGAAAGAATAATGTCTACCGACTGTTCCAGCGTAGAGATCGGAGCCGAAAGGATAGAGCTCGGACTGGGTTCCCCGGGTATTCGCACAAATATATCTATCTACTCTGGATGGATTTCGTTGGGCCGTGTATACGGACGTTTACGTATCGCGTTATTGGACAAAAGTTGCACCATCGGTTTTAGACGCGACGCGATCTGATATATCGCCGGGAACGGGATTTTTCGTTACGAGAGGGAGAAACTACGAGACGGGTCATTTTTCTCAAACTGCAGCTGGATGTCGTAACACGGAAAGCGCTCTCCCTTTGCCTTGGCACCTTTCTTTTTCTCTCTCTTTCTCTTTCTGTCCCCCCTCTTCCTTGCCAAGACAACGAAATATATGAACTCTATACGCTTTACGAGCTATCGGATTGGGAATCGGTCTGATCGATGCTTCCAGCACGGTTAAGTGCAATCGGTGTACGTGCGTTTTTATTTCCCTTACAGGTACATTTGTGTCAAATGTACAGTGTTTTACCTTGGCTTTATCAAATTTTGGTATAAAACACGAAATATTGAATCAATTAAATTTTTACTTTTCTATTACAATTGTATTTTATCGTATAGCGCAATATTCTATATGAATGGAATTTATAAATATATTGAAAGTTTTTTATTTTCGGGCATGCATAAAATTACATTGACGATGAAAATATATGGGTTATAAAATATAAAAGTTAATTAACACGCGTGCATTATCAACACGTTAGCTTTACAATTGACGTGAGTGAGAAAAGTATAACTTCGATGCATATATATTTCCATATGTAAAACTGTTTCGAGTCATTCACATACACGCACATGCACACGAAGACTCGGCATATTTGTATACATATTTATTTACGTTCGATCAATATCGCTTCATGTTGTTAGCTGTATTTAGTGAGGCTGTGCGTGATACGACATTAAATTTGCGTATAACCCATAAAACATTCATTTGCGAATTTTCATTGTTTCACCCAACGATTCGATATTATTTAAAGCGCAATTTATCAGATTTACGCTTATTGTTAGGAAATATTGGGAGATATCAATAAAGCCCGTCATAATTTAATATGGCTCAGGTTCTATATTTTAAACTGACAGATTGGAATTAATCTTTCCACGAATCGTTTTTATATAAGAGCAACTGTGTCACTTATTAGCCAGTATTTCACCATCATTATGAATTATCATTAAGCATATAAAAGGCGCATGAGTTGATTTTATCGATTTTGCATCTTCAAAATCATTGACATTCTAAATACGAATTCTCTGCACAATAAAAGTCATTGAAGACATTTCCAATAACTGCGTGTTAAAGCAGACCATTTCAATCTTCAAATTCCAATTCCAACAAGTTTGAAGCAGCTGGGTTTGCGAGACTGAAGCATATTCAAATGTAGTTCTGGTGCATAATAAATGGAAATATTTGGAGTTAATTCGAGTAAAGTAATTAGTGAGTTAATTTGCTTATGAAGACAAGTGCCTCGTCTATAGCTCGTTTTTCACAGTGTAACTTGATGCCTAAGCCGATTAATTTTTACTATCCCAGCAAAATAATGGCGCATTGCGGCGAAGCGGTAATTTACTCGTCGCTTGGCGATGGAAGATGATTACCTACTTAAACTAAACAGCAATGGCAGATACCGACGTCATTATTTTATCGCATTGCATTGTTCTTAAGCGTGTCATAAATCAGCTATCAAAACTGTTAGGAAAGGCATTAAATTGCGGAAATATTAATAGAATCTTAATATAATTTCAAAGTAAATTAAAAAAAATAAATATAGATTCGTATATTAAATAGTTTATACTTTTTAAACTGTTAGAAAGATTATATCGATTGGAGCTACTTTAATTTGATAAAAAGGAAAGCTATTTGAATGTAGGATAAAGGAACGTCCGAAAGGCTCATTGTGATTGGGCGATTAGACCGCGTTTGGTATCGATGCTTGCGTTTCAGCAGTAATCTCGTCAATCAAAGATCCAATAAAACGCGATTTCCGCTGAAACCAGGACTTTAATGAGAATCCGATTTGGAGGTGCAGCGATAGCTTCTCATTTGCTTCCAACGCACGTAATAAGCGTGCCCGCTTCCCCTGCTTTTCTAGGTGCCATGGTCGTTCGTGCGATATTCCGGGGAACTACCCCCTCGTGGCTATACACGCCTCAACCCCCGAGAAAGAGTACGCTCGACCGCAGGTGAATAAGGGATGAGAAAACGGGTTGGGATTTCTAGTGAAGCGACGACGACGGGATCGTTCTTTGTGAGATAAGCTTGGCGCCTATAAATTTCCGGTAAGTTGAACACAAGTTTTTATATCGCGCATCATCGACGAGGAACACGAGAAAATGCAAGCGTGAGAGACTTCAACTGAAATTGAAAGTATTTTAAAGTAAATATCATTCAGTCGCACTTAAAATGTTGAAAGGATCAATGATTAATAAATTACGGATCCGGATATCGACGAAAACGATTCAATACCGTTATAAGAATTTCTTACTGCACTCCTGATTCATATCGCAAGGAATTCGTAAAGCTTTGCCGAGAACGAGCTTTAAACTCTCTGATAAAAGTTACGGTGTGAAATAATGTAGAAATTTCATTTTGCCGTTTTTAACTTGGTTCACAATGAACGTTCTGCGGCTATTCTCGCGCGTTCTTCTACCTTAATATTGCATCTAACTTTTTGTTCTAGCTATATTTGTGTGAGAATACTTGAAAATAATGTTTTTCATATTATCATGATTTTAACTTTATATTTGTATAATCGAAATTGTTTACAACAGTAATTTAATGGAATATTTTGAAATAATAATTGTCAATTGCTATATTTTACGAACGGATAAACATACATTTATAAACCTTGATCCAGCGGAGAAAGAAGGGTAATGGATTTATATATTATTAGTTTAGACGATAATTGTGCGAGAGCAAAAATATGTGCGTTATAAAATTTATATTTTAACAAGCGAGAAAAGTGGCGAATATGTACTTGTTCATTTACATCATTCCGGATATATTGAAGATCCAAGAGAACTTAATCGTGTGAATCGAACTAAAGCGCTGCATCGATAAATTTATGGTTTGA